CCAAAACTAAGGCCTTAGGATGACTTTAAGACTTGAACATGGTCATTTTTGTTTTGTAACATTGAATACAAAATTAAAAAAAAAGTATTTAAAAAAAAATAAAAAAAATCCCGATCCCCGATTTTTTTTCTCCCGATTCCGATCTTTTGAAAATCACGTGATCGGCTCCGATCCCCGATCACGTGATCGGATCGGGACCATCATCTACAATAATCATGGTATTTTTTCATAATTACATTGTTCAAGTGTTCCAAATACGGTATGACCCAGCCAGCGTATTTCTAATTTATATGTCGTGTTCTAGTCAGTTCAAAAAACCAAGATATTTCACTTTAAACTCAAATGTCACATTTTTTAAGGCAGAAACAGCATTTTCTCCGTTTACGCATGAAAATCCCTGAAGTATTTTGTGTAACTGGAGCGTTGACAAGCGTAACTAGGAGGAAGCCACTAATTGGATGACCTTGATGGTTATTCGGACTCAGGGATCATGTCATTTGGATCCCCGCGGCGCTGGTAGTGAACGACAGATACCAGCGGACCGGGGCGCGGAAGTGAAAGCAATTCACCAAAGGCGATTAACTGTTTCAACAAACACATGCTGCAAAGTAAGGCCGCGATTTTGCCGATGTGTTATCGTGGATGTCAAAAGTCGAAAATAATCTAGCAAATGGAGGAGACGATCTGATCGGAGCAACTGTGAGCAAATAATACGAACTGAAACGGCATGGAGCAATGACTATGTTTTAGAAATGCGGCTTATTCCAGACACAGCCTGGTTTGTGGATACTTTACGGGCAGAAGCACATTTATATTGAAAGAAAGAATATACATTTCCTTTTTAGTGGCGCTTAATAGGCAAGCAACTTGAAATTGTTATCAAATGAATTCATACAATTTTTTTTTTTTTACCTATTGTCATTGTATCGATAGCAGACCAGACGGCCTTTAGTGACAACTCAATGCTATCCTGCCTTAACAATTTATGTTAAAAACAAAAATCTAATGTATTTTTGCCTCGAAAATCATCGAGCGCCTGAACGCCCCCCCCCCCCCCTTGCGATCTTTGCGCCCCCCAGGTTGGGAACCACTGCTCCTACAGGACTAACAAATAAAACAGGTGTAACATTGTCCAGCATGAACAACACAACCAGCACTCTCTGTCTTTTTGTCACTGTCGGGTGTCTTCTTGCTCACTGAGATAACACACACATAACACACAACTCACGGCAGTGTCCCAAAACATCTTGTTTCTCGCTTTCACAGACAACATTCTTCACAAACATCATGTCTCTGCTCCTGAAACCACCCTCACTGGTGGCAGAACCGGTTCGACAAAATGTGTGTGTGTGTGTGTGGTTGTGGTGTGTGTTGCTGTGTTGGTGTGTGTGTGTGTGTGGTGTGTGGTGTGTGTGCTGGTGGTGTGTGTGTGTGTGTGTGTGTGTGGTCTTTTTATCATCTGGCAGAACAGACTGTTTCTTTGTTCTTCCGTGCGGCAGTTTAAACACACAGTAAAACAGGGCTGAGGAGGGCACATCAGAAAAGTAAGGAGCCATTAATGGCTCATGCGACGAATGTGACAATGCTTGAATCAACTTCCACAAACAAAGATGGTGGGCGGCGTTTGTTACCTGAAAGTGAGTCGTGATGCCAACAAAAACGCTCTTTCTTCTTGTTGCTACAGAGAAACAGGACAGCACAGCAGAAAATGTTTTGACTGCTCAATTGGTTCATATCTTTGAATAGGTACTGGGGAGATCTGACGGGTCAGTACAGCTGAATTAATGGAATCTATTTTGCTTTGTCGGTTGACATTTACCATGCTGAAACTATTCATTCTATCAACTAATTTAGCTCCCCCTGGAATGCTGTGAATGATCAATGCGGACCGGCGCTTTAAAGGACAGGATTCCAACCAGACACGCAACAAGTTCTTATTTGAGATACGCGATGTAGCCTGAAATTTCATGATGACAAAGAATTGTTTTTTGTTGTCGCTTGTGTACCATGTGGTTTTGTGTTTATATATCCTGGGTCAGAGGGATTAATCGTTTTTTTGTTTAAGATCTACTGCATATTGGAAACGGTTTCTTACAATTGAAAAATTACATTTGGAACAATGTAGAGAGTGAAACAACTAGCCAGGCATTAGACGAAGGAAATAAAGTTACCCAAATAGGCCGATAAAGCACCGTCCAAACAGTTAGCTTAAGCTAAATGGCGAGCTACAAGTACCTCTTGGCTCGAGAAAGCGAATTCAAACACAGTTTAAATAGTTTAATTAAAAGTTATAACACAGAAATCAACAGCCCACAAAGCATAGGTAGGATGTTTAGACTGTGGTTCGGTTGATGAAGGAATCAACAAA